ACTGCAAGGATGCAAAACCCCAGGGATTGCTTGGTTTGGGGCCCCTCCTTAGAGGCACCAGCTTGAGCTGGTTTTGTGTTGCTGCACTACCATAAAATTCCTTAAAGGAACCAGGCACCTGGGACTCTGCTATGGGAAACATGGGGCTGAGCTGGTAAGGAACCTGTCTGTCTGCAGGAGAGTGATGTGTGTGAGTAGTCAAGTGGGGCACCCATCAGCTCACAGGAGCTGTGAAGGGACTTCAGTCCCAGCAGTGACAGTCAGGGGTGGTGGGAGTGTGATTGCCAGCGTGGCTCCTGGATGGTCAGATAAGAAACTTTCCCTTAACTCTCATTAACCTAATGCCGAAAAAACCAGTTTATAATTTAGACAAAGATAACAGAAATGTAAACCATAAGCACAAAATCAAATACTCTTTCTTAATGCCTGCCCAAATTAATTTCATCACATCTTTCAAAATTATTACTTTGGTTTTGCCTTGTAAGAGGCAGTATTTGCTGAAACTTAGACTACTAATTCTTAAGTTCTTTGCCTTAACTATCTCAAATTTCTTTGTTTTCCATTCAATACCTAGTAATTATTTTGAATATCTATTTATTTGCTAACAAAACTCTAAAACATATAAATTGCACCTCTCATTATCTTACCAGAAAATACCCACTAAAGATATGGAAGTTTAATACTCTTAAAATTAATCAAATAGTGAACACATATTATCACATGTACATTTTAAGCTGATGCTCTCTATTCATTAAAAGTTACGTATTAAACATGCTTTAAAGAAATTCACAAATTTGTTAGCAAAGCCACTGTATGTTAATGAAACCAGTGATAACTCCATTACCCCAAACCACCCACACAGAATGCATGCTTGGGAGGAGCCCTGATACCTTTAGTTCTTTAAGTCCCTGCATGTATCTCCCTTCTACATCGTGTATCTGGTCCTTAAGGTCATAGATATCCTGCAGGACATAGGAATGAATCGTTGTACAAGAAGTATGGGGAAATAATTTGTAGTCAAAAAAGCATTAAAATGTTTACATGCACTTCTATCAAATGACAAAAGCTGCAATAATTCTCAGAAATTATAATTAATTCATGACAACTTGATGGAAATTAAGGTTTTGTTTATATTCCTGAATCCAAGCCATCTCAAATAAGACAGAATTGTCTGAAATTTGACATAAACAAAGTCTTATCTTAATACAAACTAAACTGTTATCACCACAAAGACTTGTGAACACAAAAATCAAATTACCAAGACGAAGAAATCCTTCATGAGATCAAAAATTACATCCACATACCTTTTTATTATTATTAATAAGGTTCTGTATATAAAAAAAAAAAATTCCTATTTTAACTGTTCCCAGATTCTCTGAAAATGCAATTTACCCGTAGTTCACTGAGGGAGGCATCAGGATCCACCAAACTGCTCGCGTCTCCACTTCCTCTCCTAGAGGAGTTGCCACTCACGGGAGTTGCACTTAGTGAATTGCGAGATGAAGGCTTAAAAAAGGAAAAACATTGGATCAGGAATCATATGGCAATTTATGGCATACTTGACATAACTCCATAAATTTATCCACAGTCACAAAGCAGTTTTCTCTCTTCTATCTACCATTTCTTAATATTAGCTTATAGACAGTATTTTTCATGGATTATCTTTCAGCACTTGTGTTTCTTCTTGGTAAAATGTTGACTTCTATTTGAGGACTTATTAGTGTACCAGAACATTAAAGTTTTGAGTCATCTATCCAGAAGACATTGGTAAAGTGGCTACTAGTGCTGAAATACTGTACACATTTACAGTATTACTAAAAATTGTAACTTCTGCCATCCAGAATTCAGAAGAAAGTCTCCAGTAAGAATCTAGCATATGGAGTTTTATAGCCTTAGCTCTTAGAATTTAGCCTTTCCTGATAAATGTTTCTCACAAGAGAAAATAAAATGCATAGGACGTTATTACTGGCTAAAAAGTAAGCTAAAAGAATACAATTGTTTCTTCCAGAAATAAAAGACACAAAGCATTAATTTAGGGAGATAAAAAAAATGTATCTAAAAATATGTCTGCATGCTACACTCTGCTAAAAAAATACACAGCATTTATACTTTCTGAATTATTTTAATAATTGTCAATTTTGGATGAACACTGACTTTAAATAATTTTTAAATTAAAACCCTTACCCTTGAAAATATTTCTGAATGTGATTTTTCACTCTTTTCTTCCAGCTGAAAGAGAAAAGGGAACGTGATTACCTTTTGCAATGAGGGACTATTGAATCAGCATCTTTTGTTCAAAGACACTGAAAAACATTTAGAAACAAAAAATGAAACAACTAGAAGAAAAAAATCCAGACACTAGCCTAGACTAAGAAAGGAAAAACATATTCAGCCTAAAAAAAGTAGTTTTTACCTCAACTGCAAAATAAATGAATGCTCATAATGAAAAAGCCAGAAGTCGTGTTCTTTTAGTTTTTAAAAAGTCATCACCCATATTGAACAACAAAACTTATTCTACTATTTTAAATTTCAAAAGTGACCGCAACACTTGGTGGCATAATGCAGACAAAGCTTCATGCAAGTGCACTTCAGTGACAGCAGTGTGAATGTCATAGTTAATAGAAAACACATTTGTTCTCTCAGTCTTTTCCGTGAAACCTGCAATTACACCAGAACAAAACTGATTCAGGTAAAAGAACATAACTAAATTGTATTAACTAACAGAATAATGAATTCATAGTAATTTCCATTCATATTTTAGGTCTTGAACCCTATGCAAAAGAACTACCACACTCCCTTCTTATGCAGCAAACTGCTATTGCAGAATTATATTGTAGATTTCCACATTCTCTGCATTTCTATGAATCAAAATAGGTGGAAGTAGACATGTTGCCATATTTTCATAACAAGTATGTAGCATGGTATCTCAGGTATCTTGCTTCTGAGAACATCTGTTTTTCTTCCAGGCCAAGGACAAAAGATTTGGAAGTTGACTGCCATAATGGAAGAAACAAATGTTACTTTGTAAGATGTTTCTTCTTCCTTTTATTGCAGTTTCTATAGAGGCAACATTGCTTTTCCATGACAAATTCACCATCTCCAATTATGTACTGAAATTGTAAATGGCAAATAATTGTCACCACTGTGATGATAAAATGATGTTTAAAATCCAATTGAGCTGACTTATACGTTCAGACTAATCTAAATAAAAATACTGATTTAGAATCTAGTAACACATAATGATGATTGTGGTAATAAAAGCAACTGAGAAGGTAGCATAACTACCAGTGGCAGCATCCACATTTTCTTTTAGCAGAGCATTAATTTCAGAAATTAAGCTTTATTATGGAAAGAAAAGCTGAAGTGTAAGCTGGAGAAACGATCACTGTCTCATGCTTTAAGGATGCACAGATGATAAACAACGTGTATTACTACAACACAAGGTACATAGCACTGTAACGGTATAAAAATATCATCTAAATGCCAAGTCACAGAAAGAGGGTTTGTAGAAGTACTCTAGCTGTCAACCTCCCATCCAAAGCAGAACCACTGCTAACAGTCAAGGTCAGCTGCAGCTTTATATAGCTGAGAGTCACCAATTCCTAAACATGGAGGTTCTCCAGCCTTGCTGCAGCCTGTCAGAGCGCAACATTAACCCTGTGGAGCTTCTTGCAGCATCTAGTCTGAACTCAAACTGCAGTGTGAGGCTGCTGGCTCTTGTTGCACTGCTTTGCAAGGTTAAGAAGAGTTTGGCTCTCACCTAAAGTTTTTTACTCTAAGGGTGGTGAGACAGTGGCATAGGTTGCCCAGGGACATGGTGGCTGCCCCAACCCTGGCAGTGTTCAAGGCCAGGCTGGATGAGGCCTTGAGCAACCTGATCTAGTGAGGAGGTGTCCCTGCCCATGGCAGGGGGTGTTGGGACTAGATGATCTGTAAGGTCCATTCCAACCCCTAAATTCTATGATTCTAATCAAGCACTTGCATGCTGCTGATCACCACACAGCATCCCCTTTGCTCAACTAAATAAGCACAGAGTTCTCAATCTCTCTGCTTACTGCATGTGCTAACCCTAACTGATATTTCTAAAGACATGCCTAAGAATAGAAATTTCCTTTTTTTTCTGCACCATTAAGCACAAAAGTTGTGACTGCAAGTAACAAGACTTTTTAGAACTTAGAACAGCAAGAAAGAGAAGGCAGCCAGGTTTGGTATAAACAGTGTCCAGACTAAAGGGATGGACAGCATCAGTACAAGTGCGTAGTCAACAAGGAGTGCTTCAGTAATGGATCCTGACAAAATCTCCTATTGGATGGATGAACACTAAAATGCACTAATGTGTACACACTTGTAAGTATTTTTGTCACTAAAGCAAGTTAAGAGTATTCCAAAAGAACACACACCCACCCTGTTACTATCCATAAGAAAAAAAAACCCTACCATTTTACATTTAAAGACATTCTTGAGTTTATCACACACAGAAAAGTGAAGCATTACCCTCATCACATGCTTCTAGCAATAGGCATAATCCCCTTTCAAATAAAGCATGCTTTTAAAACATGCACTCAAGACATTTTTATACAAAAGCAACCGAACCCTCTCAACAAACCTATTTGCAATTCAGTAGCTCTGAATGCGTTTACAGTGTTTACTCTTTCAGAGTATGAAAACAAAATCCACAGTTAATAAGTTTGCTGTATTCACCACAGTAGGACAACAAGCATTACACTCACACTATTCAAACCTTGGCCATCATCTGCATCGGAAACAATGCTTCCCCTGCGGTTGGAACGGCTGAAATAGTCAGCAGCAGTTTCGCTTTGATCAGAAAAATCAGAGGACTTCAAAAGATAAGGAGAAGGGTGAAAGAGAACTGAAGATGACACTACAGGATGAACAAGTGTTTATTACAAAAACAAACTCGAAGTCCTAACTTAAATCTCCAATATTGAAATTTATTTTTGTTTTTCTAACAGTTCAACAAATGTAAAATCTGAATTACTCTTCTAGATTTTTACCTTTTTACATTTTTCTACATGAACGTGTGCCATTAGCATATGCAATGTTAAACACTCTTCACGTTTCTTATTCTTAGCTCACAGTATCTAAAACTAAAACAATGAACATTTATTACTGATTAATTTTCCTCAATTAGAGAAACTAGAAAAAACACAATACAAAAGGGTTTAGTACTAATATAGTACCAAACACAAACTGCAAAAATTAAAAAGGTTTGCATATCATAAAGGCAGATTATGTAACCAGAAGCTGATGAATAAAAACTACTATTTTGGTCTTTTTTCCAAAAGAACACAAACCTAACAGCACTAGTTATGAATATAATCTGGGCCTCCTTTCATTCATAATTTTAAGACATCTTACATTAGAAGACAAACTTACTCCCCCCAAAGGTGTATGCCAGACAGGCACCTAAACTGGTGAGGAAAAAACCAATAGTGCTACACACCACTTGTAAAAAAGGCAAAATATATCTAAGGACATTACAGTAATTACAACTGCCACGGGAATTCAAGTGAAATACGGAACTGAGGAACAATATGCACATTAAATATGGTATTTAATGAGAAGAATAGGTTTACCGTAAGTATATTACATTCTACTTCATACATTCTACTTCAAAAGGTGGAAAGTTACTGTGCACATTATATCTAGTTTTAAAAGCAATTACAGGAGAGAAAAATCTTTATATGAACAGTTTGAAAATATATTACCCAAATTCTCACAACTTACAGAAGTTACATATATCACAGTTACATATAAAACAGTTTGCTGATCAACACCTGACTCAGATTATACAAGTTTAGGACTACAGAATTTGCATTTATTGTCACTGCTATATGTTATGTTCTATTTCTCTGGCAACAAATTTTCCAGCTGTAACTACATCTACATTTTAAATCTTTATTTTTCTTAAATGTAACAAAGTAGGTAAGTTTTCATAATTTCAAGTTTGGCTATACTTTCTAATTTCGCTTGCACTTCACAAAGTGTAAAGACGCTGAACAGAATTCTGCTTATATGTACTATGAGTACAGCAAAAGAAGCACCAACGTGGACTACAATATATGACAACACTCTGCTCTTTCATTCTTTGCCATTGAAAAGTTCGTATACCTGATAAACTTTGCTGCTCCTCCTTCTATAAATTTTGTACCTCTAATACCTTTCTCAATGGGTTTATCAAAACTGATACATTTTAAGATGGAGATGCATCGTACAGTTTCTCACCAGTGTTTTCTACTGTTTGCATCTTCTCTCCTACTTTCCTTTGCATTTCCAGAGTGTACTAAGCTGACTTCAAATGCATTATCCAGAGTGAAACCAAAATACAAACCACAGAAATAGTAGAAAGTGAACATTAAATTGTTCATAAGATTTTTACCTCATCTGCTTTTCAGGATTTTTTCATTAAACAAATACTTTGAACTCTATTAAACATTCATTAGTGTGAGTGAATGGTACCTTGCTATTATCAGTGTAACACACACACACACACACACAATGCATTATCCAGAGTGAAACCAAAATACAAACCACAGAAATAGTAGAAAGTGAACATTAAATTGTTCATAAGATTTTTACCTCATCTGCTTTTCAGGATTTTTTCATTAAACAAATACTTTGAACTCTATTAAACATTCATTAGTGTGAGTGAATGGTACCTTGCTATTATCAGTGTAACACACACACACACACACACACACACACACTGAGACCTGATAGATGTATATAATCCTATATAGCTATAAAGTGTTTATTTCTAAGAAATGAATCTCAGTGTTAAGGAAAACCAAGGAATCAAGTAGTATTTTCACAATTCAAGAGATTACAAATGGATGTTAATACCTTTAGGTTTTGAAACTTCATAAAGCAACTGCAAAATGACCTTTCTCCTACACCCTCAAAAATTCACCCTCATGTCTGTTGTTACTAAACCCGTTAGTTTCTGACAAATCTGGTTTTATTTGTTTAGGATGTATAACACTGTTAATATGTGAGAAATTAAAAAAGGACTGAACAATTCAATTTTTCCCGTACCAGAACACTGACCTATATTTTTTTGCATAGCATGACAAATGAGCAGCTGTACCAATGAGACTAAGACAGTTGTTCTGTTTTGTGGCAGAAGCAAAGGAGAACTATTTAAAATCACTTTGCAGTACAAAAAGCCAACTTTGGAACGACACTTCTAATACAACACAGATACAGAAATTAATTTCTCTCAATTCTAAATACTGGCCATCATCAAAATGAGCAAGTTACTTCTTACTGTGTGATATAAATAAGTTCACATTAGTCTTCTTCCCCCAAAGAAAGACTTTTACATGTCTGTTGTAGTGTGTTTCATGTGCCTGCTCCAATTGTAATAAAGGGTGGTAACCCCAACAACGTACAACACTTCAGTTTCCAGTTGCTTCCAATTATATAGATTACAAACATTTAAAATGTATTTAGAAAAACAAATTCCTTATTGCTTCTACAGCTTAATGCCCTACTGCAAAAACTTTACATCTTGCTAAAAATCACATCTCTGACAAATAAAATATTTTTGATGTGGAACAGTGTTTTGGTCAGATCATTTCAGATCCCAGTGTGCATACTCCTAAGTGTTGATGTGTTAGTATCAAAGCACTCAGCAAATCATGCAAGAAGAATGCTCACCACAGGACTACTTCGAACTGAACTTGCTCTTGAAGAATAACTGTATTCAGATGGCTAAAGAAAAGGTATGAAGGAAGCTTTCATAATTTTTATATATTTTTATCCACAGAAAACAAAGATGATAAAAAAACAACCAGTCCAAAGACACTGTAATTCTTATGTACTGTCACTCTGTCTTATCCTACCAATGCATTTCCAGTTAACATTATACTTTCTGAATGGGCAAACTATTTCTAAAGATTTCCAGCAGCATTTACTACTAGTATTAGGGATGTCTATTTCCAAATATAAACCTAAGAATTTCCTTGAAAAATAGCCAAATAGTTGTAAAAGATCAAATCTTAACTATTTTCATCATTAAATTGAATATTTAAAATGCAATTTGGTTTTAACTGTTCTTAAGCCTTCAGAAGATTTAACACAGCCTGGGAACTGAACCTATACTGTAGACTTGTCAGCTTTATGCTCACCCATGCAGTTTTCCTGAAGGAGAATGCTTAAAGGTGCAAAGCTGAAATTGATTTAAGCAGTGGACAATTAAAGCACCTCTTGAGCAACACAATTAAAAAAGAAAAAAATTTACAGTTTCATGCCGCTTTCCCCCTGCACACAAAGAGATCTCTAGTAGAAATCCGAATTATATTATCACAATTATATGCAACAGCAGTCATTACTTTTGTAGAGCCCTCTCAGCCATTCTTATGGCACTTCTAGCTACTTCTTAGTTTGTCAAAATACAGATGAGGTTTTCATGCTATTGCATTTTTGTATGTTTATTGAATTTAAATATGTCACATTAATTAAAAGGATTCAAAGTGCATTTACTACAAATTTCAGTCATAATCTGATTGCTTTTCCCACTCAAATGCTTAACTTCTTTAGATACTTTAAAAAATATTATACATTCAGTTGCTGTTCAGTATGCTTGGATTAACTTCTTCTAACCCCAGTGTTCTTCAACATCATTGCTGCACTCACAAACTTTATGCCCATCTGCAAAAAACATCAGTAGAACCCTAGAATATTTTAAAGAGGCTATATAAAAATGTTAATATTAAACTGAGTGCCTCCACAAAATGGCACACAGAAGCTACAACTCTTAAAATACAACACCAATGCACATGTAATACTATTGAGTGTCACTGCCATACAACACAAATTTAAGGCAACAGTGCAAATGGTGCTTACGAACCAAACAGATACTTCTTATGAAACCAGTGTTTAAAGAAGACACCCATAAAGAAAAGTGCAATTTTCTATTTCTGTGGGCCATTCAAACATAACAAGTAAGTTATCATTTGACATTTTACTAACCCTGTAACTCCTAGATGGTGCAACTGGATCACTGTACAGAGAAGGTGACTATAGTGTGAACAATAGAGAAAGTTAGACTTTTTCTGTGTACATCAATTTTATCTATTCCTATATATTAACCAAGAGTTCTAAAGATTTAAATAACTAAATTTTATATCACTAATAGACAAGAACTTTAAGTGTGGGAAAAACCCACAAGAAAACCCATTATCTCTAAAATCAATCTAAAACATTAATTAAAACAACCTAGTATTCTTATAAGTTTGGTGAAAAAGAATGGTAAGAAATTAAGCAGTTTTCAAACAACATGTCAGTTACTTCTAGCTACTTATTTACATCTGACTATGACAGCAGCTGCAGTTTATGGAAGGTAATACTCATCTCATGACAGACCATTGTTTTATCATTAATATTACTGTAGAAAAAAAAAGCAGTACAATGGTGCTATATATTTAAGACTTTTTTGTGCTGTTTTTAAAAGATAGGACTTTGAAACAGCAAGTGCCACAGCTGCTAGTTGTTTTCTGTATATTACACAGTAATCATGAAACTGATGTTATTTTCAATTTAAAACCCCCCATATGCAGAACACAGAAAAATCTGCATGTCATACATGAATTTTAGAAAAGACAACCCATAAAAGCAAGAACTACAACAGTAACTACTATTAACCATAATAATTTGAAGTGTCATAGAAGAAAAAAAGAGAAATTTGTGTCATATAGCATAAGTAAGCAAACCCAAACACATTTTATATATATAAAATGAATATAGGAAGAGGAGACAGATCCAAACCTGGTAGGAAGGAACTGGTTTACTACATCCAAGGCAGCTATAATTTCTT